GTAGCCAGACCAAACGGCCAACCGAGGCAGGCGGGAGTTGCTAGGGGGGTTCGGGGGCATTCCCCCCCCCCCCGAGAAATTTTGAACTTTAGTCTCTCGGAAATGCGATTTGCAGCGTTTTCTGGGCCTTTCGGTAACTTTTTTTCGAGTTAATTTAAGTGGAATTTAAAAAGCAATAATCAGAAACAAGCTACATAATCTGGGTGACCGTTAACCTCGCCAATGGTTTTGATCAGTATTTGTTCAAAAAAAATTTGAGTTAACGTACGTAGCCCCTTGAGATCGATGATATGGTAATTTTTTCATAGTATATTGACTGAATTGCTGATTCTTTGTAATATCATGATGCGTTAAAAATATCCGATGATCGCTTATGTAAAATAAAAATGATCGGCGAAATTCGTCAAAATTTTACCGAGGCGAGTGCCTCGGTTGGCCTCATACTAGCTACGGCGCTGGCTTACAGCCCCAACAAAAGAATGCTCCAATCTGCTTATTGGCAGGTAGCCGGTGAGCAGTCTTCTGTGTTTCTCAAAGGAATTAGGAGACGTCTGCACGCAGGCTAATTAGCATCAATGTAGAGGACTTGGTTTTCACTGGACAAGATTTTGCACTCACTTTATGATGACATAAAGGCATATGATTGTTTTTACAAAGAATTGGGTCCAGAGTGCTCAACAGAATTACGGGAAGTGATTTTGCAAGACTTATAGTGCTTATATTGGTATGGTTGCCCCTGTACAAGTCGAAAACGTCTTTATAATCGAGCGAACTCGTTACTAAAGCATGTCAGTGGCCATGGCTCAGAAGGTACGATTAAGTTAGAGTGACTCAAATGATAACGCTCGTTTTGTGGGTATGAATTTAACTTTAATTATAGCATGTATTGCCCATATTTGCTTTATCATTTTTAGGCATCTTCTTCACCAACATAAACTTGTTTTACTTTCGTTTAAAACTTTACTTTACGTCCTCTGGCATTTGGTTTACTTCTTGCCTTAAATCCCTGTAGAAATAGTAAAGAAAAAAGGAATTGAGTAAGGAAAGCGTCAAATATTACTATCAATAAAACATCGAAATTCTCAGACTTCCCAAAGTAGTGCGGTCAGAACCCTCTTCTAGGATCGAATGACCGACTGCGGAATCAGGCCACTCGTATTTTTATGTGTCATTGCAAGAAAAGCTAATGGTGACTTAGGCTTATAATAAGAATAAGAATCGTGGTTTATGGGGCATATCTTGTATCGACACGAATGGTACTCAGTATATTAAGGTAAGGTGCATTTCCAAGTGCATCAAGTAAAAAGAACTTCGTAGGTCTAATTGGTATTTCTTTTCCTTGGCTACGAAAGATCTTAAAAAATTCGAAGGCAACCGGGATTATAAAATAATAAAAAACAAAGAAAAAAGTGTGAGGATTCTGAAGGGATAAAATAGGAACGCGGACTGGTCATGCCTGTTTATATGCGGAATATGGGATTTGGTCTACTGGGATTGAGAAAATTTGCTCAATTTCAAAGAACAACATTGAAAATTTCCAAATTACAAGTGTAATTTACAATACCCTGTGAGTAGAGGTCCTTGGATATTCCTAGACAAGTCGGAAAGAAGAAGGGACCTCTGCCAGGCGCCTCGACTTTCCCTGTTGAGCATGCGTTAAATTCAAATGTAACCTAGCCTTGCTTGGCCTGGCTTCTATTAACGATTAGTTACAAATTTTTGACACAACTACTATCCTGCAAGGTTAATTCTTGCGCGGTAATTACGGCAAATATCGGAGAACGATTCGCTCAAAATGAGGTCCCTTTCTCTTTCCAACTGCTCGCAGGGTAAAATTACAACTGTAACTAATGTTTTAAGACTCTCACCGATAACCACACTTATAAATTACACTTGTAAAAACTTTGGTGCTTGCTCTTATATCTCAGCGTAAAGATGTTGCCACAGGGATGCCATTTTTGTAATTCCGCCTAGTACCCTGTATTTCATACAAAGTTACCTTTTGCTGTAGACTTACTCTAGCATTGTCCTTCCAGGCAAAAGCACTTGTAATCATAGTTTTGAAGGTCACAGATGCACAGTTGTTTGCAATTGTTGTTACATTTGTGGGACTCTAAAGGCTGCCAGTTCCGCTTTGGGTCTAGAAAAAATAAAACCAAAATATTAACTTCTTATCTAACAAGTCTCCAACTCAGTGTCGTCACGCAATGCTATTTTCCAAGGAACTTTGCGTGACGATACAAAAACGGCTGCGTAGGAGACTAAAGGTACTTTATATCATTTACGTGGGAAAACCGGAAATTCCGGTTGGAAAATCAAGCTTCAGAAATAAGAACTATGGTTTGAAGAGATGAAAATTTTCCACTCTTTTTTGCCTTTTTAGCTGATTTGGATATACCTTGTAGCGAGTCGTTCTCCCTTTCGCGTCAAACTTTATAGTTTTATGTGTACACACAAGATTTTAACCCAGATGGATTGTGTAAATGGTACCATGGTAATAATCTTCTTCATGGTTAACAATGTAGGGACTAGCCCTGACTCCTAGGGAACGCCACAAGTAATATTCAACCCAGTCGAGTATTGGCGGTTTACGCCTGAGAATTGAGGTAGTCAAATAGAATTAAAAGAGAAAATTTGATTTTTGTATAAATGGATCCTTAAGAGACAAAAAATAATCCAATAATGAAATTCTAAATTGAAATGAACAGTGTTGTAAATTGAGCTAAACATCTGCCATTTCGGTCGTTTTAGATTCATATTTTTTTCTCCAATTAGACACTGAAAAATCTGGATTACAATAACAGTTATAATAAATTTAATAACGTAATACTAAATTAAATGAAATATATAATTGAAATAAGACGTTTTTACATAAAAAGGCAAATATGGTTGTCAAAACTCGGTTGCCATGGTAGCGTCAAAGTTGAAATACGCGTAACGACTACTATATTGAATTTTACCTGACAACATTTGAGAAAAGTCATAGCTTTAACTATTTTAAAGTTATTTAATTTGAAACTTTTGGGGGAACCTCAAACGACATCCAGTCTGAATATGATTAAAACATTTTGTTCACTTACCTCCTCTAACGAAGAGGGACAGTTCATTTAATTCCCCAAAGTCTTTCAAATGAAATGCTTGTTTTGCTGGATCTTTAACCAACTTTTGAAGGTCTGGCAGATTTGCAAAGTTTCCGACACCAATTGCAAAGACCTCTACATTTGCTGCATGCAGCCTCTGGGCGATGGGAATGGGATTGGGGTCATGAAACGGCCAATTCCACATTCCGTCTGTGATGAGAATAACCACCGTCCTCACTTTATTGCGGCTATATTTTTTAACACAGACATCGTAAGCGAGCTGAAAGGCACCCTTGGTATTCGTTGCGAAGGCATAGCTGTGAGGCATCTGTTTTAGCTTTTGAATGAGATCACACTTGTCCTTGTCTAAAGAGGGATTGGAGACTCCGTGTATATACAGGCTGGCTGTATTACCAAAAGGTATGACCGCTACTCTGGCTTCTTCGAAGCTGACAGTTATAGTGCTCAGAAAGTTCATGACAAATTTCTTTTCAGCTTCAAAACCATAGGTAGACACATTACCAGAGGTATCGAGTAGGAACAGAATGTCGCTTATCTTGTTAATGCCTAACTGTTTTCGTAGTGTTATGAACTCTTGTTGTGCGAGAAGGTAACTTTGCGCAAACGCAAAGGGAGAAATCGCTAGAAGGAGGACAGCTGTTGAAAGAGCAGCTTTTATTTTCCAAAGATTGGTAGTTGCACGCAGTTGGACATAAACTGTGACCGTGGTAAATTTTATAGAGTATTTATTAAATTCACTCAGAGCTGTTTCGCTCATTAACATGAGATATTCATGACATTTTTGGCAGCTGAATAAACGACAACGTGTACATGTTTTAGAGCTGCTTTACAGAGTTTATCCAACTAAATTCACGCATAATATTTTAAATAATAATATGATTTCAATTACCGAGAAGTGTCTATAAATATATTTCCGCACAACTTTTATGCTAGTTTAACGACAAATACGTTGGGACGATTTTAGTACGCTTAGTATATATACTCAAGAAGTGAACGTTTATGAACGTCTGCACGCAAATTATCTCAAAATATAAATTAAAAAATTAAAAACCAAGATGAAGTTGAAGAACAAGAATGTCTGATAATGTTGATATCGTGTACAGAGAAACAAAACTGAGACAAAGCTCGGAGATTGTAAAATCAGAACAAACGAACTTCGAGGACCCACTCATCCAGATCACAACTTAAAAACATGTTTTTTCGTTTATTGGCATTCGGCCAATATCCTGCCATGTTTATTCAAGTTTTTCTTCCTTTAGAAAAGAAAAGGAAAAAATATGAACGAAAAAAATTTCCAACAAATTTTTCCTCTGAACTTTTCAGTATCTGGACGTTTAAGAGGAAGTCAAAGTGTAAGATGTGAACTGAGAGGTGAATGTCTTAGACAGCAGAATGGCTGTAAAACACTGTTAAACACAGTGTATATTCCTTTTGAAATGTTAAACGTTTTATCTTTTCCAGATTCAGGTAGACAGATAGCTGTAAAAAATAAAACAGCCATTAAATTCAAACGCCAACGATTATTTCGAATTATAGTTGCATTTACCTTTTGAAAATTACCTGTTTACTTTAGGGATTAAAGAAAAACAAATTAAATTAATTTTTAATTTACCTTTAAAACCACAGCAATAATTCTAAGACTGCTGCTAATTATAGAGGCAAGAAAGGCGTAAGTCGTCTTAAAGCCAAAACATCAATTCTGAACTTTAAAAGCCACAATATTCCCATTGAGAGCCAATTGAGTACACGAACAACTTTGCATAACAGTCCCTCTTTTCCACGTCAATCTAAGACAGCTACATTTGTCAAATTAAATTGGTGCAAATGTTCTCATGTACACGAGCAAATCTTAAGTATGACACAAACACGTCAAGGAGAATATAGGTCGTGTGTACGTTTTAAGATCTGATTTTGAGCAAATACGTTTTCAATAAAAAAGGAAGAGTTTCCATACACTGCTGCAATTGTTTCGATCAATAGATGCTTCATTAGGGAGCTTAAGCAACGACGACGGCGACGTCAACAAGAACGTCACAAAAGCAATTGGTTTAGATTCAGGCAAAACAACAACTTTGCACGTGCATCACGCTTTTTTGTACATTTTTTCAGTTTGCCGTCACTGCACTACTACGACGTGAAACTGCCTATTTCACGTTTTTTGGAGGAGATGAACACAGGACAACAACTTTCTATTTCTTTCCCTGAACATTGACTTAGTCTTTTAGAATTCAACTCCAGAAAAAAAATTGCCAACATTTGACGAAATGAACGAGATGGAATAACCGCGGTAAAGTTGGAAGCAGTGCGTTTCCGTAACCGTTACCGTCGTTGTTCCTTAAGCTCTAATACGAGCAATCCTTACGACATTATTCAACAGCAATCCTAAGCATTATTAAAGATAAAATGGAACGTGAAAAATTTAATTTTCTGCCGTAAACAGGTGTGCAAATAAGTACTATTCGTCTTCTTTGTTAAGTCCGAACAACTTTTTGATATTTGACAGTTTCATATATCGCACAATATTCTCACGCAAATGTTCTCACGTACATGAATGAGCAACAAAAAAATATGGTAGCATAATATTTTGCTTGTATGGACGTTGTTAATTCTGTCATGGATTTTTCTGTATTAGTCCTTACGACTGAAATTACCGACTAGTCTTCTGCGAATAAAAGAAAATTCAGTAAATTCGATGATCATCGAAAATAGGGGACATTTTTGGATGTTAACTCTCAATGATGCATATGATATCTGAAAAAAGAGTATGTTTATTGTTGAAAACATTGCTAGAAAATTGACTGATCATGACTCTTTTTAAGAAGAAAAATTCGTCGCTTACAGCCCCAACAAAAAAATGCTCCAATCTGCTTATTGGCAGGTAGCTTGCGAGCAGTCTTCTTTTTCTCAAAGGAAATAGGAGACGTCTGCAGGCACGACTAATTGGCGTCAGTGTGGAGTACTTGGTTTTCACTGGAAAAGACTTTGCACACACTTTATGACATGCACTGTTAAGGCATATAATTGTTTTTACAAGGAATCGGGTCCCGAGTGCTCAACAGAATTACGGGAGGAGATTTTGCAAGGCCTATAGTGCCATATATTGGTATGGTTGCCCTTCTGCAAGTCGAAAACGTATTCATAATCGAGCAAACTTGTTACTAAAGCATGTCAGTGGCCATGGTTCAGAAGATACGATTAAGTTAGAATGACTCAAATGATAACGCTTGTTTTGTGGGTATGAATTTAACTTTAATTATAGCATGTATTGCCCATATTTGCTTTATCTTTTTTAGGGATCTTCTTTACTAACACAAACTTTTTTTACTTTCGTTTAAAACTTTACTCTACGTCGTCTGGCATTTCGTTTACTTCTTGCCTTAAATCCCTGTAGAAATAGTAAAGAAAAAAAGAATTGAGTAAGGAAAGCGTCAAATATTACTATCAATAAAACATCAAAATTCTCAGACATCCCAAAGTAGTGCGGTCAGAACCCTCTTCTAGGAGCGAATGACCGACTGCGGAATCAGGCCACTCGTATTTTTATGTGTCATTGCAAGAAAAGATAATGGTGACTAATAGGCTTATAATAAGAATAAGAATTGGTTTATGGGGCATATCTTGTATCGACACACGACACAGATGGTACCGTATATTAAGGTACGGTACATTTCTCAGTGCATCATGTAAAAAGAACTTCGTAGGTCTAATTGTTTTTTCTTTTCGTTGACTACAAAAGATCTTAAAAAATTCGCAGGCAACTGGAATTATAGAATAATAAAAAACAAAGAAAAAAAGTGTTAGGGTTCTGAAGGGGTAAAATAGGAACGCGGACTGGTCATGCCTGTTTATATGCGGAATATGGGATTTAGGCTACTAGGATTGAGAAAATTTGCTCAATTTCAAACAAAAACAATGAAAATTTCCAAATTTTAAAGAGCTGATAAGCTCCTGGGGTCAATTTAATAAAAGTTTTACCAGTGTAATTTACAATACCCTGTGAGTAGAGGTCCTTGGATCTTCCTAGATAAGTCGCGAAGAAGAAGGGACCTCTGCTAGTCGCCTCGACTTTCCCTGTTGAGCATGCGTTAAATTCAAATGTAACCGAGCCTTGCTTGGCCTGGCTTCCATTAACGATTAGCTATTGATTTTTGACACAACTCCTTTCCTGCGAGGTTAATTAACTTTTGCGCGGTAATTACCGCAAATATCGGAAAACGATTCGTTCAAAATGAGGTCCCTTCCTCTTCCCAACTGCTCGCAGGGTAAAATTACAACTGTAGCTATTGTTTTAAGACTCTCACCAATAACCACACTTGTAAATTACACTTGCTAAAACTTTGGTCCTTGCTCTTATATCTCAGCGTAAAGATGTTGCCACAGGGATGCCATTTTTGTAATTCCGCCTAGTACCCTGTATTTCCTTTAAAGTTACCTTTTGATGAAGACTTACTCTAGCATTCCAGGCAAAAGCACTTGTAATCATAGTTTTGAAGGTCACAGATGCACTTTTCCAATTGTTGGCAATTGTTGTTACATTTGTGGGAGTCTACAGGATGCCAGTTCTGCTTTGGGTCTAGAAAAAAAAATCCAAAATATACTTCTTATCTAACTAGTCTCCAACTCATTGTCGTCACGCAACGCTCCTTTCGAAGGAGCCTTGCGTGACGACACAAAAAAGGGTTGCGTAGGTGACTAAAGGTACTTTATATCGTTTAACTGGGAAAACCGGAAATTCCGGTTGGAAAATCAAGCTTCAGAAATAAGAGCTGTGATTTGAGAAGATGAAAATTTTCCACTCTTTTTGGCCTTTTTTAGCTGATATGGATACACCTTGAAGCGAGTCGTTCTCCCCTTCGCGTCAAAGTTTACAGTTTTATGTATATGCACAAGATCTCAACCCAGATGGATTGTGTAAATGGTACCATGGTAATATTCTTGTTCATGGTTAACAATGTAGGGACTAGCCCTGACTCCTAAGGAACGCCACAAGTAATATTTAACCCAGTCGAGTGTTGGCGGTTTACATCTGAGAATTGAGGTAGTCAAATAGAATTAAAAGAGAAAATTTGATTTTTGTATAAATGGATCCTTAACAGGCAAAAAATAATCCAATAATGAAATTCTCAATTGAAATGAACAGTGTTGAAAATTGAGACAAATATCTGCCATTTCGGTCGTTTAGATTCATATTTTTTCTACAATTAGACACTGAAAAATTTGGATCACAATTAACAATTATTCGCCGAAGGCGAAGCTAATATTAACTGAGCCTGCGGTGAATAATTAAAAGAAAAAGAAAGAAATTAAATAAAAAAAATTACATAAAATAATACTAAACTGAATTAAATGAAATGTATAATTGAAATAAGACGTTTTGACATAAAAAAAGGCAAATATGGTTGTCGAAGCTCGGATGCATTGGCTGCCTCAATGTTGAAGTACACGTAACGACTAGTAAATTAAATTTTACCTGACAACATTTGGGAAAAGTCATAGCTTTAACTATTTTGAAGTTATTCAATTTGAAACATTTGGGGGACCTCAAAAGACACCCAGTCTGAATATGATTAAAACTTTTTGTTCACTTACCTCCTCTAACGTAGAGCGACAGGTTATTTAAGTCCGCAAAGTTTCTCAAATGAAATGCTTGTTTTTCTCGATCTTTAACCAACTTTTGAAGCGCTGGCAGATTTATGGATCCGACACCAATTGCAAAGACCTCTACATTTGCTGCAAGCAGCCTCTGGGCAATGGGAGTGGGGTTGGGGTCATGAAAAGGCCAATTCCACCATCCGTCTGTGACAAGAATAACCACCGTCCTCACTTCATTCAATGGGCCTCTTTTTTGGCCGCTATATTTTCCAAGACAGACATCGTAAGCGAGCTGAAAGGCACTTTTGGTACTCGTATAGAAGCCATTGATGTATATTGGCATCTTTTTTAGCTTTTGAACGAGATCACACTTGTCCTTGTCCAAAGAGGGATTGGAGACTCCGTCTATATACAGGCTTGCTGTACTACCAAAAGGTATGACCGCTACTCTAGCTTCTTCGAAGCTGACAGTTATAGTGCTCAGAAAGTTTATGACGAATTCCTTTTCAGTGTCAAAGTCAGAGGAGCTCAAACTACCAGAGGTATCGAGCAGGAACAGAATGTCGCTTATCTTGTTAACGATTGTTAACTCATCTCGTAGCCCTTTGAACACTTCTTTTGCGCGTTCAAGGTCACTTTGTGCAAGTGCAAACGGAGAAATCGCTAGAAGGAGGACAGCTGTTGAAAGAACACCTTTCATTTTCCACAGATTGGTAGTTGCACGCAGTTGGACATAAACTGTGACGGTGCGAAATTTTATAGAGTATTTATTAAATTCAGAGCTGTTTCGCTGATAACTATGAGATATTCATGACATTTTTGGCAGCTGAATAAACGACAACGTGTACGTGTTTTAGAACCGCTTTACAAAGAGTTTATTTCACTATATTCACACATAATATTTTCAATAATAATATGTTTTCAATTACCTAGAAGTGTCTATAATTATATGTCCGCACAACTTTTACATTGCTAGTTTAACGACAAATACGTTGGGACGATTTTAGTACGCTTAGTATATATACTCAAGAAGATACAAATTCTGATGAATGTTAAATTTATGAACGTCTGCACGCAAATTATCACAAAAAATCTAAATTAAAAACCAAGATGAAGTTGAAGAACAAGAATGTCTTATAATGTTGATAATATATTGTGTACAGAGAAACGAAACTGACACAAAGTTCGGAGACTGTAAAATCAGAACAATCGAGCTTCGAGGACCCACTCAGCCAGATCACAATTTAAAAACATGTTACTTCGTTTATTGTCATTCGTCCGATATCCTGCCATGTTTATTTAAGTTTTTTTTTTCGCATTTTTTTATTGATAATAACTAAATTGCAACACAAAGAAAACAAACAAAAAAAGGTTCAAGTTTTTCTTCCTTTAGAAAAGAAAAGGGAAAAAAAAATGCGGACGAAAACTAAAAAAATCTAACACATTTTTCCTCTGAACTTTTCAGTCTCTGAACGTTTAAGAGGAAGTCAAAGTGTAAGGCGTGAACTGAGAAGTGAATGTCTTAGCAGAATGGCTGTAAAGCACTGTTAAACACAGTGTATATTCCATTTGAATTGTTGAACGTTTTACCTTTTCCAGATTCAGGTAGACAGATAGCTGTAAAAAATAAAACAGCCATCAAATTCAAACGCTAACGATTATTTCGAACCATAGTTACGTATTTACCTTTTGAAAATTACCTGTTTTCCTTTTTAATTATAGACTTAGAGAAAAAAAAACGTGTCGAGCGTCACACCTAAATTGTGTTTTATAACGATGGAAATAAATTTTTAATTTACGTTTTAAACCATAGCATTACTTCTAAGACTGCCGCTAATTATAGAGGCATATAGGCGTAAGTTGTCTTAAAGCCAAAACATCAATTCTGAACTTTAAAAGCCACAATATTCCCATTGAGAGCTACTTGAGTACACAAACAACTATTTATGACAACCTATCTTTTCCACGCCATGATCAATCTAAAACAGCTACATTTGTCAAATTAAATTGGTGCAAATGTTCTCGTGCACACGAGCAAATCTAAACTATGACACAAAAACTTCAAGGAAAATAAGTCGTGTGTACGTTTTAAGATCTGATTGAGCAAATAGGTTTTCAAGAAAAAAAGAAGGAGTTTCCATACACGGCTTCTTTTTTTCGATCAATAGCTGCGTCAATTACGAGCAATCCTTACGACTGCTTTATCACTAGCTAGTTTCTGTATTCGCACCACGATTTCTAATCAAACAAGAAATGACAGACAGGACTTCTAGTTGCTTAGTAACACTCTCCGTTTGAAAATAAGGCTTTTTTTCCATTTCTGCTCTCGAGGTACAGTCTTCAAGGTTGGACACACGACACACCATCTCGGAAAACCACATATATCCTAGAATCAGATCACAGCTTTCTGAGCGACCGCCTGACGTGTGAACCGATGCCGATGCTAGTGCTCGCAATAGATCATATTAAAACGAGCTTTAATTTACAGCCTCATTTCTAATCAGTTAAATAATTTCCGCGTTTTGGCCTCACTGGCGAAATCAAACCCGAAACGTTGCTCAAAGATTCCCCCTTCTTTTTTTTGTTTGACGGTTTTAGAATTCATAAATGAAATTGGAATGTTATGACCTACCTAATTATTGATCCCAGTGCTTTTCCCCTAGAAAATGAAAAAACCCTGGGAACGAGATTATAATCTACAGATATTCTTCAAAGAGCAGATGGCATTCGCAGTCGAGTTGTATTTTTGCAGTCTTTGGTATGTTTTTAGACAGTGGTTCTGCTACTTGTTCTCTGCTACACGTGTGGAAATTTCCGCCACAAGCTGTTTTCCTGAGTAATCTACCACACAGAAAAGTAAGACTAGTAATGGGTACCACTAAGTTTTCCTCTATCAGGCTGTATTTCATGAATTACACTGGCTACTGGTGCAGGCGCGCGTACATTTTAAGATTGTTTTGTTAGCTTTCAAAGCCATTCACGGTCTCGTCCTTGCATTTATTATTCCACTAATATATAGATTTAGCCAGGGCTAAAAGCAGGCCCGTAGCAAGCATAAAATGACTGGGGGGGTTTAGCGAGTGGCCCACATTAACCCCCCCCCCCCCCCTTCGGTCCCTTCGGTCCCTCGGTTAAAGCAAACTTCATGGTACATGTCAGATCACTACATTTGTCAACAATACCTTTTGTTCTTGTCTCTAATTTTCCTTTTGTGTTGTCTTTGACGAAATAGAGAACTTGTTTGGGATATCGTTCGAGGGAAAATTTGCCAAACAATTGCTTTCGGGTTGTTCTTTGATTCGGATTGTTTCTTCGACTACACCAGGCTCTGTGTCACTAGTGCATGGTTTTACCCACGATCAAAGTGTTCCCTGCTTATTTTCGACTCGTTTGGATTTCTTTTTCGGCGGCTCTTGCGAAGACATTGTAAGACTTTCAATATAAACTCGCAAAAACCTAAGTTTTATTCTAGTACAGTAGTATATTTTACACTGGCGGACCTCTTAGGAAACCAAATGAGAATAAAGTTCAAGAGGTCAAGTTCAGGGATTGTCATTGGTGCATTTCGATCCATTTTGCGTCTGACTATTTTGATACTTAAGAAGCAGATGTTTTAAAGCTGTTGGTTGTTCTTGGCAGAGCAAAAATACCATTTCGTTCATTTACACAATTCCCAATTGCACAGAAGAACAACAGTACATAATCTTACTATGATCGACAATACTTTGAAACTTTAGCTTCCATTGACAGCTGTCCATTTTAGTAGAAAAATTCCACTTTTGTAGCAGAATTTAATTAAGTCTGAACATTTCTGGGGGGGCTCGAGCTCCCCCCCCTGCCCCTCCCCCTGCTACGGGCCTGAAAAGCGAAGCTCTCGATAATATTTATAGTTTGTTCAAACAAAATATAAAATCATGATCATGTAATGCTAAGCGGCGAAGACAACGCCGGAAAACGGTGAAAAACAACAATAGGTCTAATTAGCACAAAAGCAACTTTGCACGTGCAGCACACATTTTTTGTACATTTCTTTGCCGTTTGTTTTGCACGACTACAACGTGAAAGTTCGAGAAACTTCATAGTTACACGTTTTTTTCGTTCACTTTTTTTTCACTGCCGCTCATTTTCACCTTGCATTGGTGGCCGCTAGCATTTCTCATTTTGTCACCGCCGTTACAAACTTTTCATGTTGTTCTTCCAACAAAAAAATGTCTCCTTTGTTTTTTATCTCTCGCTCTAAATCTCCGTCGCCCGTTTTCTCGTTGAGCTTCGCTGGCCTGCCGCCTACTTTCTCTTTTTCTCTGTGTTTCTCTTGCTCTATATTCCAAATTTGTGGACATGACAATTAATCTAAGCCTAATGCTTTAGAAAACACGGATACATAGACAATTTCCGCTTTCTATTTTCCTCTTTATTGACTCTTCAGTTGTTTCTGCTTTACAAGACGCTGGTGGCTATGCGATTTCCTGTCAAAATAACCTCGAGTTGCATTTGGGCTGCCATACCTGTTGATTGAGTTATTTTACATTGGTATGTCTGCGGTGCGGACGGACGTTGTAGGGTCACGTGATTACCAAATTTTCTCGGATGGGTAGTTTACCACATTTTCTTACCCATGGTGCTCCGCTGCGTGCGCTTCGAGCGCGAGAGCTCCGCTATTATGTCATTTTACCATATAAGGTCAAGAGAACGAGCAAAATACGAGGCCGTACTGCAGTGTCCTGGTTTAACTGGTTTACAACAGGGCGAACACCCGCGGATGCAAAAAGAGCAACTATGCGACAGAATCAGGATCTTTTGGATACTCATACTAGAAAATAGAAGCCAATTGAAAGTAACATTTTTTTTTTGCAGTAAAATAATTAACCTCTCATTCACTGGTTTGGCATATAATAAGCGCGAACATTTTGCTTATCGTTAACGTCATTCTCACAGACGGAATCAGGATGTTTCTGAATACTTTTACCAAAAAATAGAAGCCAATTGCAAAATAACAATTTTTTTTGTAGTGGAATAATAAACCTCTTATTCGATGGTTTAACATATAATACGAGCGTACATTTTGCTCATTACTCGTATTTAATAGACCTTTTTACCGATACGGCGGCCATATTGAATTGATTCGATTTAAGGAGTATTATAGGATGCCCAGGGGGCATGAGCACATTTCGTTTGTATTTTCGGGCGCTTTTCGGGACATTTTTTCTTAAAGTTTTCTTAGAATAAGATTGTAATGGGAAAAAAGATCCTTGTGCCGTGTTTGGATGTACTAATGATCGCCTTTTTCTAGTTTAGTATTAGAAATATGGTCTTTCACTGTATACTTTTCGGAAAAAAGGCGATCATTATTACATCCAAACAGATCCAACTAGGGCATTTTTATTAGAGCCACCCAAGGGTAGGATGCTAGAAACTCTGGGCAAGCGTGAATTTTAGGCGACGGCACGGAATGTGCTGACTTTACAACTTCGCAATACACAATCTCTCGAAACTTTTAAGAATTCAATTAACACATTCCCTTTTAGAAAAGTTTTTGAGAAGCGAATTTTTATTTTGTGTGATCTGCAAATAGCACTATAGAAATGATAGATTATTATTATTATTATTATCATTATTATCATTATTATTATTATTATTATTATTATTATTATTTTTATTATAATTATTGATCAATAATGATTTCTTAAAACATAAGCAAGC